GGCCCTGGCAGCAGTAATGTGAGCAAGAATTTGCAGCGCTGCACCTTTTAAAAACAATACGTTCAGAGATTCTGCCCGCAATTTATCGCTGTGCATTGGTTGGCAATTGCCCTCCGATGGCAATTTGTTAAAATTGGCTTTCAGCGAATTGCGACTTGACAGAACGGATTGGGGTATCCGTGCATGATTATGAACGTTAGTGCAGAGGTTGGAGTCATCATAGGTCTCTGATGCTGCTGTCCTTTTGAAGTGAGGTGAATTTACAATCGCTTACTGGCACTCTGCTGCATAACATTCACCGACGCTTCCACACGAGGTTCTATTTTATCCTACGCGATGTGCGAGGCCCGGTTTGTCGTCACAAAAAGGGTCTCCCTTACGGTCAGGTCAAAGTCGCTCCAGTGTGTGTTCACCTTGTGTGCGCACACACCGCCGTTGCTATTTTTGTGAAATCTGGTGGTTTTCCTGCCGCAATCAAGGGCTGTTTATTTCCGTGTGCAACGCGGTCCCATCGATCGTGGCATGGGAATGGGTCGTTGCAGCCCCGGCCCGGAAAAAAAAAAACACACGAGAACAAAATCGGGGGGGTGGGGGGGGGAATTGCAGCCCCGTTACAGACATGTCGTCTAAGCCTTTAAAGACCCATCGGCGTTCTCCTGTCAACGACCCGAAATGGGAAAATGGTTTTGGGAAAATGCGTGCAAACGCCGGGGATACACAAGTATAAAAATGTCAATTGTATAAACAAAGCCAGACTAAATAAATGCGACCGGTGCACGCTGTGCACGGGAAGTGTGAGGCAATATGGGGGCAGGTTAAAGGGCTGCGTGGTGGCCCTGGGCAGGATGCAGCTGCCAGGCCCCTGCCGGCAATAACTCTCCGTGATAGGAGGACAGCAGAGTTCTCTGATACAGCTGATCACTTCGATTAACACTTTCGCGTTCCGAGGCGTCTGCTGCTTTAGCAGGGTGTGGGTCCAGTTCACCGCAGGGTGGGTCCAGTTCACCGCAAGCGGTTAGCATGAATTTTATTTATAGAGATGTAGTCGCGCCGTTGTTTTAAAGGCATTGTACTCGCTGCAGAGAACTGTAGGGACACGAGCGCACTCTATGATGCCTGGCGCCAAACTGTGACACACACTCCCTTCCGCATAGACTTGTGGGAGCCTGGGTACCTCTTCGGACCTGAAGACGCACCAATGAAGTTATTTTAATCTTGATTTGAGGCCTTCGTGACTGCAGGAAGCCGTACTCTTTGGTTCTTTTGGTAAAGTCACGTGGGTAGAAAAATAAAATAAAAATGTAAATATATCGCGACATTTCGATCGCAACACAGGCGGTCGTCCTCAGGCGGAAAAGATAATCCAGCAGTGGAACCGCTGAACCAGGAAGAAAACATTTTTTATTTAAAGCTTTCGTGACTGCAGTGATTCATATTCTTGGCTCTTTCGGTAAAATCACGTTGAAGGGAAACAACAAAACCGAAAGAACCAAGAATATGAATGGGAAGAAAACACTGATCTTCCTGGTTCAGCAGTTCTACTGCGTCATCGGAATGGGGAAAAGGGTTACTGTGCCGTTCCATTTGCCACCGGGCACGGTCATCGCAACATCTTAAATTGCCCACTGCACAGCCGAGTGGAATGTCGAACAGCGTTTCATTCTTCCCCGACCGCGTTTTTTTCGGGTTGTGCCGCGGCAGTCGTTTCTCCGCACGATGTCCGACGTTTCGCTGCACGCGCCGGGAAGCTTGAGCGGCCCGTGTTCTCCGTCGATTCGGTGCTCGGGTTGCTTGAAGGGGGCACCGTTGTTTCCAGATTCAAAGTGGGTTGCCGCGGTAATCAGATGGTCCCTCTTCACAGCTCCTACACGGTGACATGTTAACTACCTCGCCTGGTATGCAGGAGGTTGTGGGTTCGTTCCTGACCCTGACGTCTGCAGTATATTTGGAGTTTGCGTGTTCTACCTGTGGTCGGGTGGATTTTCTTTGGGTCCTCTGCTTTTTCCCCTCCACATTTTAGAAACATGCGTTTTAAAGTATTTTCTCTGCTGTTATCAATTTCCACGTGATGATGAGCCACTTTGTCGAGCTATTGTTTGTGATAGCCAGGTCGCTTCTGAAAAAAACCAAGATCGCTCAGAGGGCCTTACCTGGTAAAATAAAAAAAGTTTCCTTTTTATTTTAAAGTGGCCACTGGCTCAAGTGCTCAGAAACAAGGAAATATTCTTCTCAGTGACCCAGCCGTCTAATTTGCCGCCATTCTAAAATAGGCCACCGCCGTTCATCCCGTCTGGATGTTTAGAGTTTCCACAACATGATGCGAGTGGGAACTACTTCGTTGTCAGGCAATCCGAGACCAAGCGTCACCTGTGGGGAGAGGGGGGCACTTCCAACACTTGCGAGATAAACCCGTGCTCTCGAAGCGATGCAAAACAACCGTGAAATATCGCGTGGGGTGTTCAAGGAAGTTGAACTTGGCTTCTCGTAAATGTTTGCCAAGAGGTCATACTGCCAATTGTGAAAATCCCAATTCTATACGGTCGTGTTTTTACACTTATCGAGCATGGTCTGCATTACTGGCTACCTGCTTCACCTGTTTGCTACAGAGAGGCTGTGTGTTCCGTTGGCCCATCCTTGCTCGGATGTCACTGTTAACCCCTCTGTTTTCATGCCGCCTTTCTGCATTGCAGCAAATCTTACGTGGAAGCCAGCCATGAATCATTGGCGGGAGGACCCTGGGTCCACTAACCATCTGACTAAAGCCACCGTGCTGGACCCTGAGAGGATTTGTCCAGACTGTTTAATCTGGGCACTGTCTGTGCCAGAATGAGGGCATTTTAGCAGAGCTTGTATCACTACCGAGTGGTGGTGGTGGTGGCGGTTGCGGCGGTTGCTGGCTCCGAGGACAATGAGCAGCTTAATGTTGTGATAGCCCTTGCTTTCCCCCCGTACACTCACTACAAGCCTCCACAATGCCACGCGGTGAAGAATCTTTATTTTGGGCTGGCTTGGCACCACAAGTCTCCCTGTTTTTTTTTCAGTTCATGGCCTGAAGCCTTCTTAACTGACACTACGTGTTAAGACACACAGTGACTTTGTGTTTTCCGTTGTTATTAAAGGTGGAATTTCGATCTCCTTTTGTCTACTGGGCACAATGACCGTTAAACCCATAGCATTAGATTGTGTTTAGTAAGGAAAGTATGGGGTAAATAAATAAATAAAACTCCACGCATTTGTCAATAACAGTGTGTGTGGCCTTATTGTTTTTTGGACAGTGACCCTTCGTAGCGAATAAATCATCATCGAGATGAGTTATCAAGTTGGCGAGCTGGAAAGCCAGTCCATGAGGGAAACCCACTCTGTGCTCCTAAATTTGGTGGACTTGCGCGAAAATTTTGCACGTACGTGGAAATGCGCGGACGGGCACTCCACTCTCCACGTACGTGTTTACCCACGCGCGCGCGCTAATCTCGGTGGTAAATGGGTGCAACGTTGTTTAGTAATTCACGCGGGGGTGGTGTTTTGTGGGTTGTTTTTTTTTTCTCATTGCCAATCTTGCCACAAAATGTACACAGATGTGGGCAGTGACATTGCTGGAAAGTTTCAGAGCGACCGGTTGAGAGATTTTGTCGCTTTTAATGACAACTCGTGGAAACGACTTCAGACCGAGCCGATGGACCTGATAGCCCTCGGAATAGCAGTAGCAGCCTCCTGGCAGCAGAGACAAAGGACGTTGTTGGAGTGGAAATTCGAATGTGGGAGAAGTGCTCCATCTACCTTGCCTATTCCGTTCACTGCTGTGGTTACGCTGGCAGAGATGATGCAGCGAGTACGGGAGCCTTTGCCTAAGGCCTAGACGTGTGCATGCACACGTGTGTGTCTGTGGCCTTCATAGGTGCTCGCAAACAGCACTTGTCTCAACAGCCTGTAAAGGGCAATACGGGGGTGCATCTGCCAGTCATCTCACTCAGTCAACCCGTGGCATTTGGGTCTATTCCGTGACCACAAGGTCAGCGAGCGTTTGACACTTCACGTGGCCTTAAAGTGCACACAGCATGGCACAAGCGCCCTGGCGACGTCACCGCCTCTTAGTGGCAAATGGCGGCTGCTGCTGCTGTTTTTGTTGCTGCTGCTGTGTACGTGAGCATCACGGCTGTCATGCGTTACGCGGTGCTGTGCGCACGTTGTGTTCGAGCCGCCGTGGATGTCACCCGCCAGAGGTTCGTGTGTCGTGAACGTGCCGTACGCTGTCGGCGCGCTGGTACCGCGAGCGTCGTGGACGTTTGTTTGGAGCTTCTTCTTTGCTAAGTTTACCCACCTGCTGCTGCTGGGTCGTGGATGTGCAATATGGGGGAGGGGTGGGGGAGCTGAGCCCCCCCCCCCCCCCCCCCAATCAAACTACGCTGGTACAATACCCAGCAACGCCAGTGGAGATTTTATTCGAAGTTCACCTTTTGTCGGCAAAACGGTAAACCTCTGAAGTGGGCGAGCGCCTTTTAATTTTGCAAGCATCGTTTGATCCGTACACCGGCAGACGAAAGCGGATTTGTATCCGTTGGCTCATCCTGTTCGGCGTTTAACGCTTGTTCACGTTCACCGTGTCGTGCCGCCTACCCCCTCCCCACGAGATTTGGGTTAACAAGGTCGGGAGCTGAAGGATTGCCCCGAAGGCTGTTTGCCAAGACGTCCTGATGAACAATGTCAACGCCCCTGTTAACGATAGGCTTTAACCCTTTGCTGGCAATACAACAGGAGGCGTGAAGATGTTCAAACGCCAAATTTTAGATACCTTTTGCAAGGAATCGCGTTTGCATTAGCCACGCGCACTTTCCGCGGCAAAACATGCAAACAAACATGCGCTGTTAATATGCACATTGTCTTTGACGTGTCCACCTGCTTGTGTTTGCACCTAATGGACGAACCGGTGTGTGTGCGCGTGTGCGTGTGTGCACGTGTGTGTGTGTGTGCGCGTGTGCTCGACAATGCGCGTTGCCACGCAGCCCCAGAACATCCTGCTCACGAGCACCGACCCGCTGGGAGACATCCGCATCGTCGACTTCGGGCTGTCCCGGCGCGTGAGCAGCGCCGATGAGCTGCGTGAGATCATGGGCACGCCGGAGTACGTGGGTACGTGGCCCATCCCGCACGAACACACACACACACACACGTGCACAAAGACAAATATCTCTCGTGTAGGCTTAACAGACTGTTGGGGCAAGTGCAGTGAGCGAGTGGCACCTATGAAAGCCGGCATGGCACACGAGGGAGTGGGTGGCCAGCATCACGCTGGACCGCCTTTTTCTCCCCAGTGGCGATGTTTACACACCGCACCGGGTACTCATTTGAGGCTGAGTCGACCAAGGAAAGGCCCGGGGACCAGTTCAGATAATCGTCACTGGTGTTGGCCGTGAGCGGGAATCGAAATCTGGTCGCCGGGTTCATAGCGAAACTCGCTAACCGCCACACTACCGCTCCACGCGCACAGGGCGCCCATTTACCGTCACACACCACCGTCACACACCACAGTCGCACGCCACAGTCGCACGCCACAGTCGCACGCCACAGTCGCACGCCACAGTCGCACGCCACAGTCGCACGCCACAGTCGCACGCCACAGTCGCACGCCACAGTCGCACGCCACAGTCGCACGCCACAGTCGCACGCCACAGTCGCACGCCACAGTCGCACACTCACCGAGTGTCTATTTCTGGACGTTGCTGTGGTGCTGCCGCGGTGTAACGGTCAGCGCACCAGACTGGCAATCCAGAGGTCGCCGGCTCTTAATTTGATCTTGCGGTAGCTGAAATGACGGTGCAAGTTTTCTTAAATTCGCCTGCCTGTTTCGCTGAAACGTCCGAATTGTTTTTAAAGATTACACCGCAAATTACTGAATTGGGATCACACACGGCAGCGTGGCACTCTACTGCAAAAACTGCCGCATATTGCCTGTGAAACACAGCACCTTCGTGAGACCCATGCACAGTAAGAATGATCGCACCAACACCAAATGTACTCAATTATTATTGATTTGAAGCTTTCGTGACTGCAGGGATGGCTGCTTGGTTCTTTCGGTAAAGTCACGCAGAAAGAAAATAATTATTTGATTTTTTTCTTTCTGAGTGACTTCACCGAAAGAACCAAAGAGTAAATTATTATTATTGAATGCACGTACGTTGAACTTCTTTCGCACCGTGCGCAGCCAACCGTGCGAATCGGCGGTGCGGGGGAAGGACACCAAACCAAGTGCAAAAAGCAGCTCGAAAGAAATTCGTTTTCTGGTTGAACATTGCCAAGGGGTTCTTATTCGTGCCATTTGAAAAGGAATTGGATATTCTGCTTGTCAAGTTGAATAACTATATGCATTATATTCTTAGTTTTTTCGGTAAAGTCACGTTGTTTCTCTTCAACGTGACTTTACCGAAAAAACTAAGAATATGAATTACTGCAGTCACGAAAGCTTTAAATCAAAATATATGCATTATATTCACGTTTACCAGTGCCAGCATTGAGCAGACCCCTAAGCGTGACGTGTTAGGGGGAGCGCCTCGTGGAGCAGGGGCTTTGCGGAAAGAAGATGCAGGTGGTTCTTGATTGGAACGGATCGTCGTCATCACGCCAATTTTAACCACAGCTGTTGATAGAAAATCTGAATTTTTTTTTTTACTCCTCCAACAGCTCCAGAAATCCTGAGCTATGAGCCGATCAGCACCGCGGCAGACATGTGGTGAGTGCCTCGCCGCACCACATCGCACGCGCGCTCGCACACTCTCGTTTCACGCTCTGCGTCCGCGTTACGTCGCCGGAGATCGTGGTCCGTGGCAGGGGATTTGGCCTGCCCCGCTGAAACCCACAGCTGCTCACCCCCCCCCCCCCCCCCCTCCTTGCATAATCCAGGCTCACAAGTGTAGTTGCATTGTTTCATCTGACTACGGTTTAATTGCGATACCAATGCAGTATGGGCGGCAGGGTGGCGGCGCGGTGGTAGTACACTCGTCCCTCGCAGCAAGAATGGCCTGGGTTTGATTCTCGACATGGTTCCCATTCTGTGTGGAGTCTGTACGTTCTCCCCCTGCTGCGCCTGAGTTTCCTCTGGGTTCTCCCGTTTCCTCCCATAGCCAAGTAACGTAAAATGTAACTGGTGTTGGGCAAAAATCCTAATGCTAAAACTGACCTGCAAATTGCTCGATTGGGGATCGCACAATGGCAACAGCATCAATCCGTGACTCTGAAACTCCTGCAGACTGCCATCTGTGCAACACAGCCGCACCTAGTTTTGGGATCGCCTTGCGCCATAAAAATGCCACGAACACCAGCGGTAGAAAGTTATTGTAGGAAAAATCAAGAGTAGGTTTTTTTCCCTTTTCTCTGAATAAAATAGGTGTTATGATTTTCAAACACCAAATAGATACCTTTTGCAAGGAATCATAGATATTATTATACCATCAAAGGACGATGTATGTATGTTGAACTTCTTTCGCACCGTACGTAGCCAACCGTGCTAATCAGAAGTGCCGGGGAAGGACAACAAACTAAACACAAAAAACAGTTCTAAAGAAATGAGTTTTCAATTTATATACTATAAAAGTGCATATCTCCCAGTGGCTTCCTATTATCGGAAGGAAGGGCGTTCCAGACGGCCACAGAAGTGTATCTGACTAGGCCGTCCTTAATTTCCACACTGGTAATTTTGGTAACAAATAAAAAAAACACGTAAATATGGCCAAGGTAAAGTCTCCACACGGGAGGCTCTGCCGATTTGGGAGTACAGTTCACATGCCCATCGTCCCTAAAGTGCAGAGAAATCCGACCATTAAAACGATGACAAAAACCCCCCGGGCAGTATCACAGAATCGCCCGTGCGGGGGGGCTTTGGCCATCACCTGATCTCTCCCACGTGTGGGACGAACAGGGCAAACATTGGGTTTGCGACGATCCAAGAGCCTCTGTGCCTTTTGTGTCACCGCGGTGCCCCCCCCACCTCACTGGGGGATTAGAGTTCTGCAAGAGCGCCCGATGCCGGGATTTCCTTCAAGGATCTGTGTCGCACAAACCAATCAGATTATAGGATGGAGCGTGGCTTTGCGAGTGGATTACTCTGCACTCGTCTGCCGGACAGGCACCGCGAGGCTGGGGAATGTTTCACCTTGGTGCTCGCTGGCACTGCCACCGTGGGTGAGACTGATGAACCTGACGGATTTGAGAATCTCCGGTTCATCTGGGGTTGTGAGACTTGAGCTGCATTAGCAGCTGTCTGCGGTGTGGGCAGGGAGCCGATAGAAGCATCACATAAGTATGAAAAAGAATAATGTTTCTTTACAGACGTGCGTGTGTGTGTGTGTGTACGTGGCATATTACGATTCCTCGCTATAGAAACGGTACTCCTCATGACGCATGTGTTTACGTGAAATTATATTGGTTCGCATCAACCCTGCAACCACTAGAGATTCAACAAGCGCCGCATTGGGAATAAAATATCGGGTCATGGCCCTGGAATGTTAACAATTCACCAGCATCTCTTGGAAGGGAGGATGGTGGGGGGGTCTTAAAACATTGCAATCATCACGGACGCCATCAGTTTAAGACTACATGTTCACTTCTATCTATGCCACTTTGGTTAGGGTGACATTTCGCGATGTATATTTGGCAAACCGATTTCTACCCAGAATTTGTTCCACTCTGTGGTTTTAATTGACCTAAGATGCAGCGGTAGGACGTGGGACAACATTGTGTGTAGTGTGTAGTGTGTGAACTGTGTGTAGTGTGTGAACTGTGTGTAGTGTGTGAACTGTGTGTAGTGTGTGAACTGTGTGTGTATACTGTGTGTGTCTATACTGTGTGTACTGTGTGTACGTAGTGTGTGACCTGTGTGAACTGTGTGTAGTGTACGTAGTGTGTGAACTGTGTGTAGTGTGTGTGTCTATACTGTGTGTATACTGTGTGTGTACTGTGTGTAGTGTGTGAACTGTGTGTGTACTGTGTGTAGTGTGTGAACTGTGTGTGTATACTGTGTGTACGTAGTGTGTGAACTGTGTGTGAACTGTGTGTAGTGTGTGTAGTGTGTGTACTGTGTGTGTGAACTGTGTGTACTGTGTGTGTGAACTGTGTGTACTGTGTGTAGTGTGTGAACTGTGTGTACTGTGTGTAGTGTGTGAACTGTGTGTAGTGTGTGAACTGTGTGTACTGTGTGTAGTGTGTGTAATGTGTGAACTCTGTGTGTATACTGTGTGTACGTAGTGTGTGAACTGTGTGTAGTGTACTGTGTAGTGTGTGAACTGTGTGTAGTGTGAACTGTGTGTGTGCTGTGTATACTGTGTACTGTGTGAACTGTGTGTGCGCGCTGTATATACTGTGTGTGTGTAGTGTGTATGTGCCGTGTATACTGTGTACGGTGTGTGTGTAGTGTGTATACTGTATTCTTTGGGTCTTTCGGTAAAGCCACGTAGATAGATCAAATAATGAAAAATAATAAATATGTAATACAAATAATAACAATATACGATGTTTCGATCGCAACACAAGCAATCGTCATCAGGTGAGAAATATCGCGGGAGAGCTGCTAAGAATATAAGGTGGGAGCGCTGCCAAGGTCAGGGAGTTGTCAAGGTTTGTGATGGGTGTAGCACAAGGGTCAGTGGGAGGGGCTAGAGATGACATTTGCATGTAAATATAAAATCGGGTAAATCTTGACAAATAAAACTGGGGGTGGCTATTGTATTGTGAGATATTAGCGTGTCAATGTAAGAGATTTGCTTGTGAATGTAAGCTCGGAGAGAGCTCGGAAGGAGCAATCGCCACATGGAGGTGGATAAGGATGGCAAGCCGCCATTTACTAACACAGCTAACGGTGGCTGTGTTAGTGAATGTAACTCAGAGAGTCGAAAATAACTGCTGACATAGGTAGGTAGGGAGGGAGCATCACAGCCAGTTATGACCTAAACTGGTTAATAACGTCCTTCCAATGATTGCTCAGTTTGTACCCATCTTCTCGGTTGAAATTGTGTCTGTGTTTATACATCTGGATGGCTTCATGAACGAATCTTTGCTGGTAGCCAGTGGGCAGAGTACCCTCGTCTTGGCAAAAATCGCTGTGTGCCCACAGCGTTGAAATAATCATCAGCCACGGCTGAGGTATTAGTCCTGCCGTGTTTCAGATCTGCCTCGTGTTCACGAACCCGGTCTGAGACATGTCGCTTAGTTTCCCCAATGTAACAGCTGCCGCAGACACAGCTCTTAGTTTTTAGACACCGGGGTATTGCATGTCAAGGATCACATCCTTCACAGATGGGATCAAATTTTGATTTAAAGCTTTCGTGACTGCAGGGATTCATATTCTTGGTTCTTTCGGTAAAGTCACGTAGAAGGGAAACAATAAAATAAAAATATAAAACATTAAAATTGTTGAAACGTCGTGAGAATTTTATTGTGTTATATTTTTATTTTATTGTTTCCCTTCTACGTGACTTTACCGAAAGAACCAAGAAGATGGGATAAAAATCACAAATTGTATGTACTGTGTTGAATCGTACCTGGATCTTGTGTTTGGTCATGATTTTTAAAATATTTTTGGTGACCCCTGTTATGTATGGGCAAGGTGATGGTTTTGATTGGGTCCTCAGATGGTTCTTTCTCAACGGATTGTGTAGTCTGAATATCCATTAATCTTGAGGGCTTGGTGTACGTGTTCCCGTTCACTGGCTAGGTGGTGATGGTCGTAAATACATCGAGCTCTATGGTGTAGAGTTTTGATGAGGGAATTCTTCTGGGATTGATGGTGGTGGAAGTCTAGGTAGGCATCCGTATGGGTGGCTTTCCTGTAGACTGAGTGTCAAATTGAGCCATCAGGTCTCTTTTGTGTATACTGTGTACGGTGTGTGTGTGTACTGTGTACGGTGTGTACTCTGTATACTGTGTGTACGTGTGTACTGTGTGCGCTACTCTGCAGGCAGCTGTCTCTTCGTCTGTCTGTGATTGCTCACGTCAAGGAGCCACGGTGGCGAGATGTTAATTGCCTCACCCGGTATACAGGAGGTCGTGGGTTCGATCCCGACCCTGAGGCCTGCATATTTGGAGTTTGCATGTCTCTCCCCGTGGTCGTGTGGATTTTTCTCCAGGTTCTACGTTTTTTTTCCCCAACACATTTTGAATCGTGCATTTAGAGTATATGGCTGATATAAATTAGCACTTGATAAGGTCATTTCGTTGAGCTATCATTTGCGACCCAGGTCGCTTCTGAAAAAGAGCTACATAGCTCAGTGGGCCTTACCTGGTAAAATAAAAACAGTTTCGTTTATAGATTTAGTTTAGTTTCCTCGTGCAGTTTCGCTTTGTGCGCCCATTTTTCTTGGAACGCATCCACTAAGAGAGCCAGGGAATCCTGTGCGGTGTTCACCACTTGATTTAATATTGTAGCGGAGGCGACCCCCCCCCCCCTCCTGAGCGAAGGGGCCACCGCCCGACTCGGTTACTGCGGTCGGGGTTCGCCTGCTGCACGGCACCACTTTTGTTTTCTATCGGGGGGGGGGGGGGGGGGGGGCGGTGGCCGGTAGGGAGTCCCGACCCCGTGGCCGGGGCAGGGAACCCCCCCCCCCCCCCTTAACCACCCGGGGGGGCCTGGCCGCGGCACGGCCGGGCGCTGACGCGGCGCGTGTGGCGGCTGCCCGCAGGAGCATCGGCGTGCTGGCGTACGTGATGCTGACGGGCGAGTCCCCGTTCCTGGGCGAGGACAAGCAGGAGACGTTTCTCAACGTGGCGCAGGTGAACGTCAGCTATGACGACGACTCGTTCAGCAACGTGTCCTATCTCGCCGTCACCTTCATCCAGACGCTGCTGCTCAAGGAGCCCGAGTAAGCCTTGCGCACTGACGCCGCCACCACCGCCACCACCACCACCCCCTCCCCCACCGGCAGCTCGGCGATTGTGACTCGCGGGGCCGCGAAAACCGGGCCCAACTCGTGATAAACCAATAAAAACCTTGAAACTTCGCCGCTCGTTATGAACATACGAAGCTGCATACCGCCCCCTTCCCCCACCCCGCGTGGGCTCCTGCGCCCCACGCGCTAGAGGACTCGCCCACTGGCCAGCACTGCCTACATCCGTTCCACTCAATGAGCATAGACTAATAATTGCTCGAGTACATTAGGTATAAATTTTGATTTAAAGCTTTCGTGACTGCAGTAATTCATATTCTTAGTTCTTTCGGTAAAGTCACGTTAAAGGGAAACAACAAAATAATAAAAATAATATATATTTTATTATTTTGTTGTTTCCCTTTAACGTGACTTTACCGAAAGAATTAAGAATATGAATATACATTAGGTATTCGCGCCATTCTTATAGTGCAAGGCTATAACGAAGGAGGGCGCCGCTGTGTTTCACAGACACAGCCTGGATTAGATTGACAGGAGGGGGCAATACTCCTGTATTTATTCCCGAGAACTACAAAGGTACATTTTCAAATTTGAAACCATGACGCATGCACACGAGAACCCCCTTACTCTGTTCGAATCGCATCACGGGATCTTTAACATCCGCTGTGAAGCGTACAGCGCTGTATTTGCGATTCGTAAACTTTCATTAATAAGCGCCGAACGCGCTGCTGCTGCTGCTGCTGGGACGCATCACGTTCCCTGGCTCTCGACGTTCCCTGGCTCTCGACGTGCCCTGGCTCTCGACTTGCCCTGCGCCGCCTCACACGAGTGCCCGCGTGCCCGCAGGAGGCGAGCCACGGCCGAGGAGAGCCTGCGCCACCCGTGGCTGCTGCCGTCGGACGTCCCCCTGACGCTGCTGGGGCTGAGCCTGCACGATCCCGTCCCGCGTCCCGCCAAGCCCGGCGCGCAGAGCGACGCCGCCGGCCAGGCCGGCACGCCGGGCGGCGCGGTCGCGGCGGCGGTGAACGGGGAGGCCGGCGCGGCACCCGAGGCTGCGGGGGAGGCCGGGCCGGATGAGGACGCTTCCCCCTCGTTCCCCGGCGAGAAGCCGATGTCGCGCTGCTGCCCCCTGTTGCAGAGCTGCCCCCTGGCCCACGACATCCAGAGAGAGATCGTGCTCTGAGGATGCCACCCGAGCTGTTCGAGGAGCGGTAAACCGCTTGAGCTGAATGGCCGGTGGAGGACTGGCCCGGGGGCCCCGTGCGGCCCGTTAGGCCGTAGCCGGCGTTGGTACGGATTGAGGCGCGGGCCGGAGGCGTGCGGTCGGAGTTGTTGCTGCTGCGCGGTCGTCTTTGTACCCGCAAACGCCCGTCCGCACCTCGGACTCTTGGCGGGCTGGACGTCCGCTAATCCGAGCACTGTGTGCGTGTGTGTCCGTGTTGTCACCGTTGATCGGTGGACTCCAAACGCGTTCTCTGTGCAGCAGCCGTCAGCACCAAGGGGCACAGGAAGCTGTGACGCCAGCAATATTACTTCTCACGCTTGATATAACAGTTTCAACCGAGTTGATTTCACCGTACCTCGGGGCACTTCGAGAACACCAATGTCAGCGTTCTCTAATTCATTATAGGTGACACTTTGCAAAGCTATTTACAGCTCTTGTTTTGCACCATCGTGTTTTGTTAAATTCATGCCGACGTTGGTAAATAAACTCTCAGATTTTCCTGAGACTTCACAGCAGAATGTCATCACAGTTGTCCAAGTGAGAATGTTCCAGGTTTGCGTATCATCAAATTAGTGGCTGTAAGCACAAGCAACGAATGCAATCCTCCACACATTCATAGAAGTAAATGCACACCTTAGCCTCAGTGAGGTCCTTGTCAATTGCTATGTTAAGTGACTGCAGTGAGATGTAATTAGTTATTTCATAAGAAATATACTGCACTTACCGTACGCCTTAATGTAATTACTTGTATTCCTAGCCTAAACGGTATCATCGGTTAAATGACTTCTATGGCAGATTCACGGATTAGTGGTTCAAGTCGGGCCATCTAACCCCATCTTTGTACGTAGGATTTGTTTTAGGGCAATATCGAAGCGGGACTCTTGCAATGTAAGTTTTGACGTGTAATAATCAACACACCTTTGTTGATGATGCGTGCACACTGCATGGTGCGACAGCCGTTAAACCACTCCATTCACTTTAGGGGGTACGCGCGCTTGAAACCCTGCAATGCGTGGCCCTGCACAGAAATTAATAAAGCAAACAACGCTGGGCCGTGCATCGCTGTCACGTTGGCACGCAGGATAAGGCTTGAATTCAGGAAAGGGACAAACGAGTGCCTTTGATGAATTGCAAATTGTGGCCAATGCTTAGACGACTTGAAAATGGTTGCGTGTGCATTTGGATTCTTCCAGATGAGACCAGAGCTGTTGGTCCCTCTTCACAGCTCCGACACGGTGAGATGTTAACTACCTCGCCTGGTATACAGGAGGTCGTGGGTTCGATCCCAACCCTGACGCCTGCTGTATATTTGGAGTTTCCATGTTAATCTACCTGTGATCGTGTGGATTTTCTCCGGGTCCTCCGGTTTCTCCCTTCACATTTAGAATCAACGTGCGTTTCGAGTATTTGGCTGCTGTAAATTTCTATGCGATAAGCCACTTGGTTGAGCTATCATTTGTGGCCAAGTCACTTCTGAAAAACAGCTACATAGCTCAGTGGGCCTTACCTGGTAAAATAGAAATGGTATAGTTGTTTAGGGTGCTGCTTCTGCCACAAAACGATGTCATGATTTGCTCCTTCCCACGATTTGATCGGTTGCCAACATTCAATCCAGAAATTGATATTTTCCCTCGTGGTGCATGCAGCGTCTATAGTGGTATAAACATATCGGAATTGATATGTTCACTGCTGGATGAAGGCCTCCCCCAAACCACCGCGATCCTGAGATGCAACAATCTGGCACCCGTCCTTGAGCTGAATTCATTGCGCCATCTCCACGGTGGATGAGTCTCGGGCACGTTCCTTCCTCTGACTGCCACTCCACTGGCCATCGCCCCACTCATGCGTTCCTCTCCCTGTATCGCAGCGTAGTTACGGACATGCACCTCTCTCCATGCTGCTTCACGAATGTTTTTTTAGCTTTAGTTCCAACTTGCCAATGTGCCGAACGTAGATCGTTTCTACACCGTGCAATGCCTGCTATGACAGGGATCATAAACATGGTCATTGCTGAATAGGTGGAAACGTACGACTCTTACATAATTGATGACAGATAGGATCCATTGCACGTGTACTGGTTGAGAATTTATTTTTTAACTGGCGAGTTGTTGCATCCCAACGATTGCAGTACAGGATCAGCTTTCCATACTCGTAAGTGCAGTCGGCTTGCAGCTCTTAATGAAAGTAAAAACAAATAAGTATATATTTTTTACATTAGTATCCACACTTTATTGCTTTTATCCATTAAATGTTTTTGTAAAGCTTTTGTTACGTACTTTGATAATAAAATATTATTGTGAACTCTTGATTTTCAGCAAACGTATCTTTTATTGTGTAAATCAAAGCCAAGTACTTCAGCCACATTTAAGCCATCTAATTACCCAGGATGATGTCCTTTTTTGCAGGGGGCTCGTAGAAGTAAACGGATATCGCGATTGACTTTATAAATTGTGGACATGCTTAACGTGGAATTTTAGCGACAACACCAGCACATATTGGTATCATTGATGCTTTTTTGCTCAGGAAAGCCTCACCGAGTCTCAAGACTCTTTGCAGGAGGGTCCTGCCAGTGTCATTTTTCAGAATCGACACGTTTTGGACAATACCGGTTACATTGTCTATACTGCAGCCAACATTCGTCGGTGATTCCCTTCTGCTGTGAATGAATGCCGAAGTCAAACCATTAACTCTGCACCGCGATTCAGTCCTGACTGCTGCTGAATTTTCCAGCACAGCCGCCCAGCATCCGTGAACATCGCACTCCTTCAAGGCAGCATGTTTACATGAAATTTGTAGTTGTATGCTTTATTTATATTTATAGTGACTTGCTTACCTTTTCTCTATTTGTGGACTCCAATCATTCTTTGTAATGTTTGGTGTACCGTGCTGACCTGCCCGTACTCGGCATCTGTCAAGAAGAGCTTCATAGCTCATTGGATTCCTCCTGCAGTCTAAATAAATATTCTGATTCCGACATAAGCTGCCTTTAATAAAATAAAATAATCCATTTCATCGAACAAATGTAAATGTACAGGTTTTCGGTATCTGCTTATGTATAGACTCATTGCAGAGAATGCCAACAACTAAAATCTTAGAATTTCTATTTGACAAATTGTGTCATGCAAATGTCCAGTACCAGTGGCGAGCTGCATAAAACTCCTTCAAAGGAAATTCCTTCGAGTGCCATTCAAAGCAGGACAAGAACAAACAAAAAAAATCCTTGAAGTGTTTTAAATGCAACCTGGTCGCAGGACTGCAACCAACGGGGGGTCTCTCACAAGCGGTAGTCAACCATCGGCTGACGGAGAAGTGACCCCGAGCCGTGAGCCGTGATGCCGAGCAGCACTTCAAGCCGGGATAACCCGTCAAACTTAACCCTCCGTGCAAGCTCCCTCGACGGCGTCGCTGTCACCTCCCACGTCACTCCTCTGACCCCTCGGCTTTGCGCAGAATGGAGATGCAGCTGCCATTTCCCAAGCACAGCACCACCTCCTGCATCTCCCACCTGCAAGGGTGGCACCAGACCAGGCCGTCAAGTGGTCCACACCCATCAGTGCACGCCTCTGAAGTTCAACACCCACCATATCACCTTGCATTCTCTTTGGCCCAAAAGAGCCTTGGGAACAAGCATCCACCCAAACAAATGTGATCTCCTTAGGTATCCACACACAGTCATGTACTCGCCATGCCACGCATCTCAATTGCTCAAACTAGGCAACTCATTTATATCTGTGCCAGTCCCACCATAAAAGAAAGACAGCAAAAGACCAATATCAATTATAGGGTTTTTTTGGGTTAGATCGCGCAAATATAAAAGTGTCATTAAACCCGCCACCACCCGACACAACCAATTAGTAAGGGTTTGTCACGTAAACAGAACATGCCAATTCGTTACCAGTTCAGCACACCGAATGTGTTGGAGAGTAAATCCACAATATTTACAATTTGAGTACGACGTTTCGCCTGTAATTACAACTAGCATTATTAGGCGACGGCCAGATTTGTGGAGAAATCCTCCTGCTTCGTTCATTAAGCAGAGGGATAGATGTGCTGTCGTCACGTGTGACCCCCTCGCTTGGAGCTCCACACACCTAAGTCATGTCCCAGGCTCTCCAACACGTGTTTTATACATTGAGGGGGAAAAAAAAATACTTTAAAATTACTTTCATTGAGTGACAGTGCAACAGGTGCAGAGGATTTTCTCGATGAATTGTCACCAAAATAATGCATCCCCAATTGAAAAATTCAGTCTATTAGCATTCACCAGCACCGCCCCTTATCCGTGTAGCCCCGCCCCTTATCCGTGTAGCCCCCGCCCCTTATCCGTGTTGCCCCGCCCCTTATCCGTGTAGCCCCGCCCTCCCTGGGCGTTCGAGGCCAGGGACACTGCAGTGGTGGCCACAGAGCCCCGTTGCGGAGGTTGAAGCTGTCTCTCGGCTCTGCTCAATTGCTTACCTCAAAGTTGTTACGTTTCGTGGCCAAATCCTGCCGAAACGTGACTGTGTGGTTGCACGAATAACGTCCTCTCAGAATAACGTCCTCTCAGAATAACGTCCTCTCAGAATAACATCCGACCGCAGACATTGTGGGGCTGTAATTAAATGTTGCGCTCCTTCGGCCGTCTGGAACGCTCTTCCTTCCGATATGAGGAAGCCACTGGAGCTATTGTGCACTTTTAAATCATCTAGATTGAAAACTCGTTTCTTTAGAACTGCTTTGCGTGTTTGGTTTCTTCCCCTTTCTCCCGCACCTCCCATTAGCACGGTTGGCTATGTACGGTGTGATAAAAGTTCAACATACTTACATATTATTTGGATGTCAAACAGCAGAAATGTGGTTGTTAAATCGTGAATAACTCTTTTTGGGAGAGAAAGCACAATACCGTGATGCATTCCCATTCTCCTATCAGACTGAGACGGTGATGAGAGTCGGCGTCGAGGTTGATTTTGTGTTTTATTTTGCAGGTGCGTTTAACGTTTGTGTGGCTGAGCAGGGCTATTCCCAGTCCAGTCGTTACAATCTGTACACGAGCCCGTGTTGGCTAGTGGGTTGTTTTAAATATTATTTTAGCGTGAATTTTGCCGAGGCTCGTGCAGCCAAGGTACAGTTCGGTCACAAAGGGAAACAGATTTCCGTCTGTGGGCTGTACATTGGGATTTACCTCCAGGGAAAGTATACGGAAACGTAACGTTTTGAGGTTAGGCGTGGGAATTTTTGGTCAAGGGAATACAAGGTGTGTGTGTGTGATTTTGTTCATGCTTAAATTATTCCATGTATTACGTTTGTATAGGGAATCAAAGACGATCCGTTATTAATTCTCTAAATCACATTAAAGTATATGAATCATTATATTTGCACTGTTTTTTGAGTTCATGTTGCGTTTCGTTTACGACCGTTAAGCACCTCGTTTGTTAGTCGCACAAAATTCCTTAAGGACCCTGCTATAGTCATTCTCTGCAATGTTGATGTCTTTGTTTTGCTGCTGCTGCTGTGCTTACGGTACCACCACAGAACTCTCTCGTGCAATAACCGGGTATCTAGAGTGCCTGGCTAACCCGGGGACCATCGTCCGTGTAACAAATACAATACAAAAAAATAACTATAAATCGGTCATTACTCACTGGCTTATAGCTGCTCCGGGACCATCCCCATTGGTAAGGCAAGCGGACCGGCCACTCGCTAATGGCTGAGTTCTGGTCGACCGGCGACCCTTGTGACCTAGCTCGGCCGTGAGTGACACTGCACGGCCAGGTCACCCACGGCAAGCGGGACACGCGCAGCGCAGAGCATCACGCGTCCCCCACCCTGGGCACTCCTGACCGGTAGGGCAGTAGCAACCCCATAAACATTGAACGCTCGGTTCCAACCATATGCGCCAACGTTGGCCCAACGTTGCATGTTCACCGAGGGAGAGCGATCACGGCATTTGCGTATGGATATGTATGGGAGTCATGTCACAGGGACTTCACTGGAGCAATCTATTGAACAGCCTGGGTCACGGCCTAGGTATGTAGATTCAAAATAAGTGTCTTCCTCTTACTACAACCAGAGATACCTTTCTCTTTGGCCTTCATCCAGACATGAATCTCACTAACATAGCCACCCAGCAGTAGTTTAGTACTCCATGGTTGAACCTAATCGGCCACACAACTCACTCTTCAGATAGTCATAAGGAGTCACCACGGAAAATGCTGACTGCCATACCACAGCAGGGCACAGCAAGGTCCATCAATGCCAAATTGGGCCGGGCATGGTAGCACAAACCTGTGATCAAAAACTTTGGAAGCAAGGGTCGGTGGATCACGTGGATTTGTGAAACACCCACTGGGCTGTTAAGATCGCCAGGGTATTGCAGCACAGCAAGTGGGTTCCTGAACCCATCGGTGGGTTCCTGAACCCATCGGTGGGTTCCTGAACCCATCGGTGGGTTCCTGAACCCATCGGTGGGTTCCTGAACCCATCGGTGGGTTCCTGAACCCATCGGTGGGTTCCTGAACCCATCGGTGGGTTCCTGAACCCATCGGTGGGTTCCTGAACCCATCGGTGGGTTCCTGAACCCATCGGTGGGTTCCTGAACCCATCGGTGGGTTCCTGAACCCATCGGTGGGTTCCTGAACCCATTGGTGGGTTCCTGAACCCATCGGTGTGTTACGCCTTCGCACGCACGGGTTTCCTCCAGACACTTGCTTTCCCGCCATGAACAAAATACCGTATTAATTACGAAAATAATTGGTCAGACATCCCAAAGCATTCCCGAAAAACACGGATGCAAGGTGTGGTCTGTGGCACCGCGGGTTGGGTTTCGCGTGGATGTGGTCGAGTCGCATCACCTCTCTTTGGGCTCCGTTCGGGATGAGCTGCTCCTCAGGAAGCCGCGGGCGTGCTGCCCAGACACGGGGATCGCAAGCTGTGCCACACAGAATCAGAAGGACCGGAATATTGATTTATACTGCAGGAGGAATTCCGATGACCTATTAAGCTCTTTTTTCACCGATGTACAGTAGTTTCACAGATTTCCATACACAAGCGGCACGCAGCCTCTTCAACAACAGCAACGTACTGAACACCACAGTATAAAATAATTTTCGAAGAAAAGGATAAGATAATAAGGGCAATGACAACTGGATGCATTGTGTATATATATAGTGCATACGAGGAATTGTCACAAATTATGACGAGATGCGAAATAAGTTTCCAGGCCAGTCCATTAAATTAGAAAGTTCCATTCTTGTTTCCTTTGTACCCCACTGTACCCCTCTCCCCCTACGTGCAGAAGCTTCACTTTAACACGTAGGCTTTCATGACGAATATTATTCAAAATAAAGGTTTTTGGGTTAGATCACGTAAACATTAATGGATTAATCCATCTGGTAATATGTACTGCATATTTTCAGATTAACGTATCCATTATAATTGACGTGATTACAATGAACCCCACTCTGATCTTTTTACCTGACCACATCGCCTTGCTCATCACCTTGCTCTATTTAAGACCGGAAGCAGGAAGACTTCTTCAGAATTCTGGAAAATCGCCTGATGAAGCTGGTTGTCATCACCAGCGAAAGGTCGTAGATAAATTGTAAATATCGTGGGTGTACTCGCCATCAAACCGATGTGCTGAAGTAATAGCTCATTGGCACGTTTCGTTCACGTGACAAAGCTTATTAATTGGATGTAGCGGGTGGTGGTGGGTTAACGACACATATATATTTACGTGATTGAACCAAAAAAACTTTACTTTTAAGAATATTCACTCTTTGATCCTGTGAACCACCCTCCTTCCTTGCCTTACCTCTCTTGAGCCTGATCCTACTTTAATTGTTTTTCACAATTTAATTCCAATTGTGGTATCGGAATCACATCACGAGGCTGAGGATCTATTCTAAGAGCAGTGCACTTGTGTGTCAATGGACGCCTGTGAAATCTATTATTCGTGGGGCTTCTCTTGAAAAATTATTCACCGACCCGCACTGACCAGCGTGGTGAAGTATGGTCAAACAACCCCGCTGCCAACATGGCTTGTGGAGGCCTTTGCCTTGCAGTGGATTAAAGAGCTGTAAATACATTTTTATTTTTTGACATTATACCTGTGCCGGGAAAAGGTCACGTACAAAATTCCCTTTCATACACATGCAATATTGTATTCAAACCTTTGTGGACTTCAGGAAAGATCCCAAATAAAACTACAAAAATATGGATTTCACAACATGTTTCAATTAACCTCCGTGTGCTAAGATAAATTTAAGCAATGCTGTCAGGACCCCAGCCTGTGCCTTCAAAAATAATAATATTGTCAACGTGGATATGCGTCTTTGGCAGAGGAAACGCATAAACCCAAATAATCCACAGGTATTTTTGTTTTCACGAAAAGAGTGTAGCGGATTGCAAGCACATGTGCGATGCGCTGGCAACCGCACCTGGCACTGGTGTGCTACATCACTGGCTGCCTGGGTATGCAGCTGCACTTTAACCAATCACTCATCGTGAAGTGTGGGTCTACTTTGTCCCCACGCTACGCAGGGATGTGTGTAAAGCAGCCAATATTGAGTTGAGCGATTAGGGATTTGTGCTGTCAAAGTAGAACCAGATTTATGTGCTCACAAAGGCTGTTTGTACTGCTGTACCCCCTTAAGCAGTTGATATACGTGATTTTCGTTCATATACATGCCGATTGTACGATTGGCACCAAAGCACGGAAATGTCGTTACAGACAGCACTGTTTCAAGTCGCTACGCCAGACTCCTTGGAATGGCCCTTCAAAAGGCAAGTTTCAAATCTGTGCAATATTTGTCCAAGCATCCAGTCGGGTGGCAAAGTGCGCAACTCTCAATCGGAACGTCGCGAGTGCACACCGACGTTACGACCGACTCATTCCGTCGTCTTTCTGGGGTCAACTAAAATGAACACCACTCTGTGGGAGGCCAACAGTGATTCTTCTCTCTCGCTAGACTTGGCCCCCGCTATGGGAGTGTTATTTCCACCACGCTGGCTCAGGGCCACCGACGTAAATCCGCACCGCTCCATGCTCATTCGAGCGGGGAGACACGTATTAACCTCATAATTTATTTGACCGTGTTAACTCTCAAAACAGCACGAGACCAAATGAAGTGCAAAGCAAACTATCATTGTCCAGGCGTGAGTGAACTGGCTGCCACCAAGAGCTCGAAGTGCGAGAGAACCTTCGTTCTATAACTGGTGAAAGCACACAATTTAAATGACGTTAAATTCTGGTTCGCAATAGGTGATTGGGTTGGGCCGTTTAAAGATCCCACCAAATTTGTGTGAAGACCCTCCATCACCCGACAAGTGCTGAACAAGTTGAAGAACAATTCTCACAACCAATCCATGCGAGCCACCCTGGCTTGATGTTTAACACCGCCCCGTCTACTCAGCACCGTTGTACTGTATATGACGGGCCTCCGATTGTTATCCATTCCGAAATTTAGAACTCAAATTGTGTCAAGTGCCTTCTCAATTATGGCACCTAAATTATATAATTAATTGGTCACTAATCTCAGTATTCTGACCCCATCATCTGTATCTGCATTGAAGACATTGCTTTGTGACTCCCACTGTGACACTTGTGAATGGCATTGGTAAAGCCATTTATGACTGGAACTTGGGAATGCCATTTTTGGAAATACTTTATGTAACAAACAAATGCAATTCTAATTCGTGATGTTTTTAATGCCACGTTAAATGTGCGTTCCTCTCACTTGTGCCACGAATAATTTTATTTTGGATTACTCGCTGGTTTTCAATTGTACGTAATTCCTGTTGTTTATTGGTCATTTCTCACATTTCCCTGCTTTTGTTCTATGCAACCCCTGAAAACCCTGTCTTCCCATGTAACCTGATTGCTACAGTGTCAACCATTTTGGCTGGGTCGCCATTGTATGTATGTTGAAATTTTCACACCGTACGTAGCCAACTGTGCTAATCGGAGGTGTGGGGGAAGGACAACAAAGTAAACACAAAAGGCAGTTGTAAATAAATTAGTTTTCAATCTCGATTTAAAAGTGCATAGCTACAGTGGCTTCCTGATGTCGGAAGGAAAAGCGTTCCAGACGGCCACAGAAACACATCTGAAAGCGCGTGATGCACTGACCATCTTCATTCTATGGTAAGCCAAAAGGCGCTGCGAGGATGACCGGAGTTCACGTTATGGTTTATGCTCCTTGACGAGATTAGCAAGGCATCACAAGGTATTGTGATTCACAAGGTGATTCACAAGGTGAATCGCAAAATAAATTACCCAATGTATTAGCAATACCTTGTGAATAACAATACCTTGTGAATAACAATACCTTGTGAATCGCAATACCTTGTGAATCACACTACCTTGTGAATCACAATACCTTGCCATTGAAAAAGAGCTTCTTGGCTCAAAGAGCCTTACCCCAATTAAACCGACCATCTGACTGTATTTTCCTGCAACGCGACCGACCACGCTGTGTGTTCCCCCGTGTGCCTGGCTGGTACTTTGGCGGAGAGGGCGTCCACGTGGTTGTTGGTCGTGTCGCGGAGGTGCAGGAGATGCGTCCGCAAGGGCGGTGCGCCAAGCGCAGTCATGCTCTCTGTGTGCTCCTCCAGCGCCCGCACGGATTGCTGGTAAAACTCGGACCCCTGGAACCGCTCTGGCAAAACACGCGGCAAACACGACAGCCCAGTGACTCGACGCCGGCACTCTTCGTACGTAATCGGTGTCGCCAGAGTGACGCGGATTACGCACCCCTTTACTAAGCTTGACATCAAAGGCAGCATGCCATTGGTAATGTTGTCACCGTGTTATTATGCTAAGACCATTACGTTTTGACTTTAAACTTTTGTTTTCTCTCCGCCTGATGAAGACCGCTTGTATCGCGATCGAAACGTGGTGGGTTTCTTGCTTTTATTAGTTTCAATTTATTATTTTTACTTTAATTTTATTATTCTTGTTAATTTTTATTTTCTATCTACGTGACTTTACCTAAGGAACCAATAATATAAAGACCATTACGGTTCCCTATCTCTTCATGCAAAATTAACCTAGGTAACTGCAGTCACGTAATTTAAAGTGAGTTCCAGCCTTGTTGGCTGATGGGACAGTGTTCAAAGTGCTGAATGTGTGGAAGGAACGTTGGTTGCTTTATAATGGGTTGTTATTCATTTAAATATATTCGGGCTACAGTATTCTGAACATTACATACTGGAGGTGATTAACTGAGGGAATGATTGCCCACATTGGACGTCACCAGTAATTTTATGGTTTATTGGACGTCACCAGTAATTTTCATCCGATCTTAAAAGCTAAGCAGTATTTTTAAGCCTGGTTTGTACTGCTACTCGTATGGGAGACTATGGATATGTCCAGGTGTTGTAGGCTCGGGCTACAGGTGGCCACGATATGGCAGTACAGCAATGGATTCTTGAATCCGTGCTCAGTTTTTTTTAGTGTCACCCCCTCACGTGCATGGGTTTGTGCAGATACCCTGGTTTCCTCCCGTATGCCACTCGTTAAAAAAGGATCTGGACAAACATTGCAATGCTTGTCTTTGCTGAAAACATTGTCTCGTGACTCAGTGACGATTCCATGGGCATATAAAGGGCATTGCTATTCATCTGGGACCATTAAGCCGTCATTTCGACACTACACATGCGAAGTTATTTTGGAAAGAAGGCCAAACTATCTCAGCCAGTGTCAGGATCGCAAACTAAATCCTCTGATTAACAAGTAGGCTTTGCGACCAATATTATCCATAATACAGGTTTTTTTGGGTTAGATCGTGTAAAAAAAGGTGTTGTTAAACCCACCACCTCCCGGTACAGCCAATTAGCAGGTTTGTCACATGAACAGAATATGCCAATTCGTTACTGGTACAGCAGCACACCAGTGTGTTGGAGAGTAAATCAATGCTCTAATATAAGCGAATCATTGTTCACTTAGCCACTATGCTTACTTAAATGCCTCAGCACAAACGGGGCCATTTCCACAACAATGACAATGATCGCCACTTCAAGTGCGCACCCCTGAACAATGCTGGGCAGATAAAAATACTGCAATAGGAACATAGTGTACCATGGCCCAGGCAGAATCAAGGCCAGATGAGTGGAATCTGGGGAATAAACATAACGCACGCATTCCAACACGCGGTCGCCAAATTCACAACAATGCAGCGCTTACTGCTAACTTGGGACACCACTAAACCAAAAAATCCACAGCTTTGGAATTTGAGAACCACAAAGTTGCGCAACAGCCTCATCGCTTGAACAAATAGCAAGCTCATGTGCCCACTAACAGTTGGTGATACTGGACAAGCCCGACTTGAAAAACTCATGAATTTAAGGCTCTGAAAACGGTGGCTCTTTGGTTGTTTCAGAGCATTGAGCCTAGGTGGTCGAAATGTCCGGTTTAAATCGCAGCCTTCCATCCAATAAAAATATAACCTCGATGTGCACAAAGTTTTAAGGTCTCATTCCAATAACAAACTGCTCAAAAACATTGTTAAATATTGATTTAGCATTTATGTCGGTACATGACTTTTGTTTGCTCATACATATATTGAGCCAAACTTTTCAGCTTCCATTAAATTCTTCAACTATATCCTGTAGTCCAATTCCATTTGTTGTAATGATGACCGTGTCATCAGTAAACCTGAGGTGGCTCATATCTTCTCTATTTATATTTACGTCGTCATTTCGACAATCTAAACTTTGGAAAGTATCTTCGAATGTCACTGTGAATAGATGTAGCAAAAGCGTGGCTCCTTGTCTGACTCCGATTCAACGTTTGTTTAACTTCTTAATGCCGTCTCAGTGTAGCTTTTGCATCCTTTCAATATATTTTATTATTTATAAGTACAGTATATTATATAGGAATTGGTGTGCGAGCACTTGGATAATTACATCAATCTCCACCGAGTTAAATGCCTTTTCCTAATCGACAAAGGCTAAGCATAATTGCGTGAAAGTTCCCTAAACAAATAAAGATATTTCAGCATCAAAACGATGGAATAAAGAGACAAGTGATGATGGGGTAGGGTACTTTTGAAAACCCGATCATATTAAGCAACAAACGAATGTACCTTTTTTTATTTTGGCATATCACCTCCTCTGACTTATGGAATGTAAACATGGACACTGATCATGAAAATGGAACAAATGGCCGAAGAGTGTGCAAAGCAGCATGGAGAGGCGTGTGCTTGTAGTTATATTAAGGGGCAGACAGAGGTGGGGTAGCGGGCCCTATTTCCCTTCATTATTTGCCTTTCATGTGGTTCCACCCCGCCGGAATAGATGTCCGTGGAATTTTTGTATCCTGATGCTGGAACTTTTCAGTGCGTGGTATGTCGGGCTCGCATTTTGTGATAATAAAAGCATACATACAAAAAACAGGCACACAGAGGAAAACATGGATTAGAGAATTTGCAAAAGTTGTCGACATCATGTTGATTAAGAAAAGTCAGTGGGTTTGGGCAAAGGTATGAATATAGTTTATTTGTGTAAAGCCCATTTCTGAGGAATAATTTATCAAGCTTTCAGCAAAATAATTTACGAATATAGTGATTATTTCCAGGCCCATACATAATAATAATTGAAACATTAGGCGCCTTTCACAATCTCTCAAGGTGCCAAATGTCAGGTGTACCGTGATGTTAATTCTGGCTCATTCCACAACAAGTTCTAGTGTTAAGTTTATTTGTTTAACCAGGTCAGAGCTCAAGAGTGGTCGTGGTCACCAAAATGGCAAAGCAAAACAAACTAAATTAGAGTACAGCATGGAAGCATAAAGAGCAACAACAACCGTGTCACATGACAATTACAATATTTAGCAAAAACATAAATCAATGTTAAAATCATAAATTTCCCTGTAGCTAAGAGTGACTTGGGCAGATAAATAACTGATCATAGTACAATTACAATGAAGTTGCATAAACATGAAAAAGAAATAAGGTAACGAGTATATTAATATGTTGAGACACGGGTGTATGTCAAATGCAAGTAAAGTTATAAAGAATTGACAGCTGAGAATCAAGTTGTGACTTAGATGGAAGAGTAACCAAGGACATTTTTGAAGTGATGGAATTCCTGGTATTTGGGGGCATTAAGAGAGAACGAGTGAGAAGCAGGTGAGTGTCACGTTCTTGCTCCAATGCACTTCGGTGCTGTGCGGTGTCTAAGATTTGGAGGGAAGTGGACTTCACGGTGAGGCTTCCCTTAGTCGGATGGTGGGCAAGAAATTACACCCTCCTCTCGCCCCACTGAGTAAAGCCCCGCATGCTGGAACAATAGCCTAAATCTGTTTACGCCGAGATAAACCCGTTAAAAACCCAAAACATTGAAACACCCCAAAACATGCACTGTCGGTACAATAAGCTCTCCGACCTTAAGTGTCACGAAAAACCACCAGTTCCTGCAGAACTGAATTTTGAAATGTTGTCTTAAGTCACAACCAAAATATTCAGCAAATGTGACTCACCAACCTGTAGCAGTGAGACAAGAAGAGACCAGTTTCATCATTATTATGACTTATCAGCATGGTATCATCACTAATGCTCAGTTCTCAAATGCGACTATTGACAGTTGTATTACATCATGCATGCTTTGAAACGTCACCGAATAGCGCATTTCATTGTTTCTGCAGAATGAAATGTGCAAATATACAGTTTGTGATTTTGAAAAGTACATTTGTAATAGTGGCACACATACAAGGCTCCCTTGTTCAGCAAGGGCCTTCCCTGATCAGGCTCGCCCAGCACATGGATCAGGAACCTCGCACGTGGGAAAGAAGCTCCGAGTAAATCACAGTCGCGTCAAAGAGTCTCCACATTCAGACAACCCCTGGCTGGGTGGTGTACGGGTGCTGGAAATTAAATATCAGTTTCTTTATTTAACCGCATGAAAGATAATTCAGATTTATTTTCTTCTAGATATACCAAAAGAGCTGTTAATTTAGATATGGGCAATGTCAAATATATTGTATTTGAGTTTAAGACACCGGCGAGAAATGTCACGCATTGTGAATATTTCTCAAAATCGCCTTTTTAGTGTTCAATTTACACTCGCAGCAAGTCTAGTCAATTCTTGGACATTTTAAATGACTAAAGAAATGAAACCTGGCCTGAAATCGAGCTCATCCGTCTGCCTGCACACAGTGGTTTGAGTGTTGTTTCTGTTGAAGCTGTAATGCAGCTTTCTACGAAATGTCACGTGTGATGAGACTTTACCACATGGCTGTTGTTGATGGATTCCTGATAAGACTGCCAAACCACAGAGCGTGAGTTCAATTTTTGGCCCAATGGGAAACAAAATATAATTTTTAAAGACAGCACAATTTTTACACTGAACAGGAAATCTATATTGAAAACACTTTTGTTATTGTCATGAAAAAAGGATATCTATTGGCACACAGAGTTGTTTGCTTATTTTCTGGAAACAGCATGTGCCACATAATAGTTAGACATTTTTAATCCATAGTTACACATAAACATGAAGAAATCCTCACCAAGAGTATGATCTCTCAAAATTAATTGGAACAGTTTATTTTGTTCATTTATCAGGGGCCTGATTCATGAACTGAGTAGAATGTGGCCCAGTGGAAAGTTCCACAGACTCCATTATGTTCAATTCAAGAGGGACTTTTATCACCATTCTGCCA